CAAGAGGCCTTCCCACTTTGTATTTGCAGGATCGCACACTGATCGTTTCCTTGATTGTCGATATGGGTTTTTCACCCGGCCCACGAGGGCGCGGTTTTCCTGTATAGTAAGTTGTTGAAGGTCCGGCAAGCCCAAGGGCACAGCGGTGTAGGAATAATATATTTGTTTCTGATTGGAAACTCTTGATATTTTCCTCTGTTGAAGGCACACCTAATACCAAACCTCAACCACGAAGCATCATGTCCAAGGACGGCATTTATGAAGAGTCCAACTGGGCACGAGAATAACAGGCAATGCGGCCGCTGCCTCGAGTGCTGGTGCTACCCCCTGGGTGCGTATGTCCATGCTCCGGCCTCCAGTGCTGAACGAAACGGACGACATGCTGCATAATTCGGAGAGGGCGCCGAGAACATGCGGCGCCGTGCACTAGGGCAGACCTGTCCCAAAACAAACATTGAAATTCACAAGTACAACTGATTTCAACTGTTTAATAATTCTGAATCATTGTGTCAACCTTGATTTCGAAACAGTTTAACTAAATGTTCTGCAGCGTTTCCAAGACCCACGCTGCCACCTGACTCTGCCCTGTATTCCGTTCCAAATTCCCTTCTAATATGCCATACCCGGCTCCTCCAACTTCCCAGTGTCTTTCTGCGTCGAGTGACGATGTGGTGAATCCCGGTTCTTGCGGCGACTTCTCCGTGAAAAGGCTGCAACAAACGCACCTACCACACTCAGCACAGTCAACGCAAGAGAGTACAGGCCAATAAGAAAAGCCAGAATCTCGGCCGTCTCATGAAGCGGGGGGCGACCAAAGTCGAGGTGGACAGTGTTGTTTGGACCTTGCCTCGTGACCGTCAGTTCCGAGCAGACGATGGTGACGACCAGCAACACGGCCAGCAGAACGGCCCAGGGAATGTTCCACACGCTGAAGCGAGCCGGAACGGTTGTACTGCTTCTGTACCGATGCTGAATTGACCTCGTGTCGCTGTGATGGAGACAAGCCATGATCTCTTGCGTGTGCCGTCCGCGAGCTTTGCGAGAATACCCCCGTGAGGAACGCGGGTCGTGGACGTGATCGCTTTGGCCGGCCTCGACCGACTTTTTGCCCTGTCTTTGCCTCCGCGCGCTCAAGCCAACGAATGCTGGACCGAAGATGCTGACGGTGAGGATGAACAGGGCCGCTGCTGTGGTGAAGACGGCCACGATGCAGACTCCGATAGTCCAGATGCGCAAGAACGTGGTGAATCCCGAGTCAGTAAATGGTTTCTTGGGAGCGAACAAGAAGTAGACGGTCGGTACATTGTCGCAAGCGCCGACCTTGTTACCGTGGTGCAGCAGCGGCCAGTTGAGGGCAGCGGTGCCGAACATCCAGGCGGACCAGATCAGGAGGCCGATAGCCACCGTCAGTTGGTCCTTGTAGCTGGTCCTGAGAAGGAAATGGCGGAGGGACTGTCCTGGAGCTCTCGCGCGACGTCTGATGCGCAGTTCCTCGGAGGCAATGAGCGCAACTTCGTGCTCAGTGGCTCGTGCTTCAGCGACAGATCGTTGCGAGTGGACCAGGGCGGCGACATAAAGGTCACGGAGCTTGTCGATGTCTGCGCGCGTCGGGGCTGCCGCGATCTCCTCGATGAGCTCGGTGTTGTAGACAGTCGTAATGGCTACTCCGTCGATATCGTTTCGTTGGCCGTCCCGCATCTCGACTTGCTCGTGCCAATGAGAGACGTAGTGCTGGATGGCCTCGTTTATGGCTGCTTGGGCGGCATCCTGCTCGCGCTCCGCCTCCTCCGCTGCTGCGTAGAGAGCGAAGGCTTTGAGGACATTGCAATAAGCACGAGCCTGCACCACGTCTAGTTCCGAGACTGCATCCTGGTGACACCGCTGTAAGCGTTCTTGGTACTCGGCGTCCGGCATGGAGTTGCTCCTCGCCTCGACCACGAGAGCCTGCCGGAACAGAACGGTAAAGACAAAGTATACGGGATACCAGAGCACAAGCTGGATCAAAACGGCGTAGTCGATGATAATCAGACTGTGGTCGGCCACGTTGAGGAACATGGACAGGAAGAGTGACAGGGCCAGGATGCCCCAGGCGCCGTGCCAGAAGCGGAATTGCTTGTCGACGCCAAACAGAACCGCGACGATGGCGGCGGCATACAGCAGGTAGAATCCAATCCGAATGCCGGTGCCAATGAGCATCTGGTCTCCGAAGATGTGGCATGGCATGTACGAGGTCACGGCGCTCATCTCGTCGGTGCCGACAAAGGCCGTGCTCGTGATGCCCACGAAGTAGCCCATGATGCTGGGTGCCTCCTCTCGGAGATCTGGGCCGTTTGGCTATTATAATCCTTGTTGTCCGAGTAGTAGAGGTTTGACGCAAGGCAGAGGATCCGAGGGACGAACTGGTTGCAGTTTGACAAGATGTATGGACACTAAGGATGTACTTTAACAGGCAAGGACGACAATACGGCAGAAATGACGGGACATAGACCGCAGCACTGGGCAACGTGCGGTGATCTCAGCCATGCAAGGTCGGAGCAGGCTACCCAAACTGCCGGGCTCCGAGTAGCGATAGCGGCCAGGTGATCACCGCCCTATAAGCTCAGCGAGCTCGCTGCGACCCCAAGGCCCCGAGTCTTGACAGCGTGCAGGGTGACATCTGCAGCTCAATGCGACGCCCATGTCGCGGCGCAGTGTGACGAAAGTGAAGAGAGGGTTTGAGCGGTGATAGCTTGTCGAGTCTCAAGTTCCACAGCCGTGATTGGGCATCGAAACAATAATGCCGCGTTGGTGTTGGTCGATCAGTTGGGAGGCTAACCTCCTGCAGGCGCAAGTCCTGGAAACCTGCATGACAACTCACCGCTCGGGGAGCGATCGCGCCAGGTGCCTCACCTCCACGGAAATGCCACGGGGTATTAACGATGTGGTTGGCTCGGGCTCCGGCGGGGTGAGAAGTCAAGGCTGGAAAGTTCCCGTTTTCAGCCCATCAGAGAACGCCACATCCATCGCAGGCCTTTCCAAGCTTGGGACGGCATGACGAGTCGGGCCAAAGCTGCAGCTCTCAAGTGGGAGACAGTCCGAGACGCCGGGTGCGAAAATCCATCAAGTCTTAGAGGCTCCTTCCTGTTCCTGATGAACCGTTTACGGCTCTTTTCTGGCATGTCACTTTGGTCCAAGCCCTAATTGTCAACATTCCAGCAAGATGCGAAAACTCGGAATGGCTATCGCGATTCTGCCGCTGTTGACTTTTGGGTCGGCACAAGAACATCAATTCTTTAGGTGGAACACTCCCCGGGCGAACCTGGCAGATGACAGCCTTCACCGTCGCCAGTCCCCGCCACCAGGATACCATCCCGAGTTTGGGACTTGCGGGAGCGGGACGACGTGCGAGAACGCCTGCGGGCCAAATTGGATCTCCTGCCAGGCATCCACCGACCTCTCGTTGTTCTGCTACAACAAAGTCGATCTGAACCAGACTTGCTGCGAAAACGGGTCTGGGCGTGAGTAGACACCGGATTGTTTGACAGATACGGACGACGCTGACTTCGGACCTGCAGGCGCCTGTGACAGTGGCTACTATTGCGCCTGGCAGGAATTCGGCGGGAGAGTCTGGTGTTGTGAGAATGTAAGGCACACGCTCCGGACGCTGGTCTCTTCCACTAACCGTCGAAAAGGGTCAAAGTCTGGAAGAATGCGGCGTACCACGGCCAACTGCGTCCTCTACAACCAAGTCAACGACATCTTCGAGCAGCTCCAGTACCTCCGCCTCTGCATCATCCGATTTCTCAATCTCGGGCTCCAAAACCACCAGCGGAAGAACGACCGGTTCCGAGAGCACTTCACAATGTCCTCGGTCCACCGTCACGTATTCGGCAACGACAACAGTGGTGAGCACTGTCAGTATCGCAGCAACCACTGTCACGGTGACGGCAGAAGACCGTGGATGTTCCTCGGCAACGTCTTCATCGCGAAGTTGGCCTTCCGGCAGCACCTCGGTGCCAGAAACCATCACCAATCCGCCATCATCATCTTCAACGTCTCCAAGGACATCGGTATGTTGCTGCTCTCTCAGGATGCTCAACCGGCCGGGACGGGACTGACTTTGGTTGCAACAGACGTTCAATACCACAACCTCCACAAAGCCCACCAACACAATCGTCACTGCTGGCGCTGCAGGTCTTGCTGTCGTTCCTTTGAACCTTACCCTACTGCTGCTCTCTCTGCTCTATCTCTGCTCTGGATCTAAATGAAAATGGTCAAAGTAAATAACGGTTTTGCCACGGGGAATCCATGGTTTGTATTCTTGTCAAGCGTTTTGGTTGTGTTGGATACCCTTTTTTGCGTTCAGATCGACGGTTTCGAAGTTGGTCGAGCACAACTTACTAATCACTGTTATCAGTCACAGCAGTCCTTTGTTCATCACGACGAACAGGTGCAGGGGCCTTGGATTGCCTGTAGCCCTTTCATGTGTTTGGCTTGGCCTCTTTGTCTCTGGCATGAAAATGGGATCAAGGACCTCAACACTCAAAAGTGATTTCTCACCAAATCATGACTGATACTATTGAATCGAGGAGTGCGAAGAAATGTTGTACCGAAAACCATTGTCCTTGTCCTCAAGCCGGGCCCACCGACCACCGCTGGTGGTGCTTCGACCTTTACAAATTACAACCCGCTGGTAAGGGAGGCAGCAACCATACAGGACCATTTCGAAATCTTGGATCGTTGTATGGGTGCGTGAGTCTTCATTGGAGTTGGTCTCTGTATACATGGGTATCCGCTCGGGCCCGTTCGGCCGTCGATAGTTTATCCTCATTGACTAGACGGCTGCTAATTAGTGTACTGACCCTTCCTGTTGCCAAGTTCAGGTTGTTCTGGTTGTGTTGTCCAGAACGATGACACTGGACAGCCACCTGTGGCTCAGAGTGTACTTCTCTTGCTAAAGTTAGGTTTCTGGCACAGAAATAGTGGTACGTTTTGGAAGCTTCAAGTGAAGTCGAGACGTTGAACAGTCCCGCAGGCGGCATCCTGCTTGTGGCATTGAAATGCTCTTCAACAACTGCCAGGTCCCAGGAAGGACATGCATGCTGACTGAGTCTTGGACACAGTGATCATCCGGAACATCCGAGATGTACGACGTTTTCTCTAATCCGCTGTTCGACAGTGTCATCCGTGTGCGCGGGTCTATTTAAACACTTCTACGTTCTCGTTCTGGCTGAATTAGATTTCGCACCACGACTCGGGTATGTTCTACGTCAAGTACTTGCCGACAAAACCAGCACCAACTCAGCTCACAAACCAACAACAACCTCAGCAGTAACCAAGTAACCAAGATTCACGATGCCTCGTAAGTGGCGTGTCGATGGGGATGACGGCCGTCTGCCCGAGGGCCTGAGGCGGGTGGCGTATGATACGGAATCACAGATGTACACATACGAATCCGTCGATGGCTCCGAGGAGTACAGGGGTCGGCCTGGGTGGCGGTACGGCGAACTTAACCGTACCCGAACTACCCATCCGGTGCGCGCTGCTCAGTCATCGACGCCAACGCGCTCCCATACCTTCTCGCAGGCCCGCCCTAAGGGCCCCCTCGCGTCCAACAACAACACCCTCAACAACAACAATGTCTTCCACAACACCATCCACAACAACATCACTCACAACAACAACTCCTTCCATAGGAAGACCAACCATAACCACCCAACCCCCTCCTCCTCTGGTGCTGCTCGCAACCCTCGAGCAGCTTCCTCAACCCTCTTATTCTCATACCCATCCCCTCCTCCCCCCTACCGCACCCCCCCTCGCCGTGCCCGATCCAACACCACCGTCACCGCAGCAGCAAACAACCCCTCCCCTCCCTCCTACCACTCCTCCAACAACAGGAGCAACAACACCTTCAGCACCACCCTAGGACCCAATCACTCCTCCCTAATCAACCCAACCTCCTCCTACCCTCCTCCTCCCTCATCCGCCTTCCCCACCCCCACTGGCCCAGGCTACCCCCGTCGAATGGAAACCATTCCCGCTCGCGTGCCCGAACTTCAGCGGAACGGGGGGACCGCCACGGCCTCGTCCGGAGGAGGTCCTGTTTTCACTTCGCCGCCGCCCAAGCGGAGGAAGTCGCTGGTGGGCGCGGTATTTGGGTTCAGCCGCAATGCGCTTGGGTTTGTCAAGGAGGCGGCTATTGTCAAGGCAGAGAAGTGGAGCGAGGGGTTGAAGGAGGTTAAGGAGGAGATGAACGCTAGGAGGGAGGAGAGGAGGGTGAAGAGGGAGGAGTATGAGGGGGGGGAGGGGGAGAGGAGGGGGAGGAGGAGGAGGATGTTGACGAGGATGGGAAGGTGAAAAAGTGGGCTTAGAGAATAAGAAAGATAAAATCATGGGTACTTTATGGGTGTGTATTGTTTTCCTTTTCCTTTCCGTATTGGCTTTTCTAGGCAGAAAAGAAAAAAAAAAAAGTGGAAATAACAAACAATCACCCAAAAAACACGGGAACATACCTAAGGTAGCTTGTTAGGTAGGTAGGTTTCGAGCCAGGCCGGGTAAATAAGTAACTTAACTACTCCTCATAGATTGCGTGCCTCGGGTAAATGCTGATAGATACAATGAATGTGTACGTCCACGAAGTGATGTAAATCATCCATGTGATGCCAATCGTTGTTCTGTAGGCTCATGACCGCCAATGTTGCGCGTCATATGAAGCAGCTGTACCAGCATAGTTCTCCCGGTTCCCGCTCTGTGTTTTGCCACTTGTTCTGTGGTTGTTGCTCATGATGGAAGGGACAAGCTTGTGTCTCCCAAAGAAGCACCAGGCTCCCGATCACTGACTCTTCCCCTCCTTGCCACCGTCCCCATCGTCCTGCCGCTTATTGAACAAGTTACCCATGGCCTTCACAATACTGTCCCCGAACATCTGATTGTCCTTCCTGAAGTGCCGCAGGAAGATCCTCAGCGACATTTCCGACGTCATCTCCGCGCCCTCCTTCCAGCCCGACGGCCTCTCATCCGTAAGCACCGACAAGTCGACTGGGAGATCTGCGCCCACGCTGGTCCTGTCAATTTCAGGCTCCGCGAAGTCCCGCTGCACCTTCGCCTCCAGCGCGGCAATTTTGGATTTCCAATCAACCGCCTCCCACTCCGCCCTCAGCCGGTACGCTTCTTCAGCAGCGCCGGCCGCTGTGGCCCCTCCAGTCGAGCCTGACTCCCCATGTATTTCACTCCCCCGCCGCGTGTCCCCCTCCTCGTTCTCGTCCTCGTCCTCCACGCCCTGTAACATCTCGGCAATCTCCACCGCCCTTTTCAACTCTTCCACCTCCCGCGAATCTACTCCACCACCGGCAATGACCTCCCTCCCCTCCAAACCGGCACACTTAACCATCGCAACCCTCATCGCCAACACAACAGGACTTACCTCGACCTGTCCCCCAGTATCCGAGTACCTTACCTCCACCTTCATCTTGCAAAGCGATCTATACCCCGGCGCAGCGAGCAACGTCCTCAATACCTCTACTTGGCTGGCTGCCACCGCCGCCGAGACGGGCGTGCCCAGGACGGGGTTGGTCGCCAGCTCGCCTAGGTTGGCTTCCGTGGGGAACAGGGCGAGGACACACTGCACGATGGACGCGGAGATCTGGCCGTGCGAGTTCCATTCTGTGAGGGGGATTGTGCTGAGGGCGTGGACGGCTGAGATGGGGAGGGGCGCGGCTGGTGCTCGTTTGCTCTCGCTATCAGTCGTGGTGGTTGTGCCAGAGGTAGGAGTAATGGGGTTGTCGTAGGCCAACGGGGAGAAGGTGATGTGAGGGTGGGTCTTCTGCAGGTGGGCGAGGTAGGTGAGTGCGTGGAAAGTGGCGGAGGTCTGCGAGCGGAGGAGGGTGCCGAGGAGGGTGGAGGATGATGTGGCCTGCAGCGTGTTCAGGGATGCTCCGGCACCGTGGGCCACGAGCAGGTCGGCGAGCTCGTAGAAGCCGTTGAGTATTGCGAGGACCAGTGGGGATTGGCGGGCTTGAGTTGAGGGATCGACTGGGGTGCCGTGGGCGATGAGGTATCGCGCTATCGCCAGGTCGCGCGGGGCGTGGGGTGGTCGTTGAGCGAGGATATGCAGGAGGGACGGTTCGTCTGGGTCGTGGGTGGTGGGAGGAGAAGGATCGTGGGATATAAGAAGATCAAAGATTGCTGCGTGGTTGACACTGACGGCAGTGGTGAGCGGGCGGAACTCCGAAGATCCGGCCGGGGAATGGCCCAGGGAGAGCAGGGCCGAAACAATGTCGGTGTTGCCAAGGAGTATCTCGTTGCACAGATGCTTGCCAGAAGGGTGATTCTCTTCCTGTTCATTCCTAGCTCTTCGTCCCCTTCTTCGCTCATGCAAGATCTTGAGTGTGCGCTCCAGGTCCACTTGGTATGCCTTGCCGCGCCGGACAAGTCGACTGTGCAGCGAGAGTGGGTCGTAAGGGGTGATGTTTCCCGAGCGGGCGGCGTCAAGCATCTCGCACTCGTCAAAGACGGGCTCGGCGTCGTCAGTGTGGCGAAGGAGCTCCTCAAGGACGTCGGGCAGGGTCAGAACTGCGGCGAGTTCGACGGCGGATTGGTTCGCCCTGTTTCTATACTCTCGCTTAGCAGTTGGACTCGCGCCGTGCTTGAGCAAAACCTTGACCGCTGGTAAGCTCTGCTTGAGAACCGCTCTTCCCAGAGGCGTGAGTGTTATGGAGAGGTTGTCCTCCCAGTCTGCCAGGATACCCCTCACGTCCTTCCGGGATGCCTCCGTGTGCTTTTCAATATCCGCTCCAGAAGTGATCAACCTGGCCACGAGGGTCTCCATTTCAGCGTCGCCAAAGTCCGTGATGCAGTGTAAAGGAGACTCTTCGCAGAACTCGCCTCCATTGGGATCTGCGCCGTTTTCAAGACACCACATTGCCACGTCAAGCCGGCCTGTGCGGCAGGCGCAGGTGAGGGCAGTGTCACCGTGGGACTGGTTCTTCAGATTAATGTCGCAGAGATACTTTTTGTGGAGGTGCTGAAGAGCCGCAAGCTTCCCGCGGACCGCTGCTAGGTGCAACAACCCGTGACCCATGTGGTTGACATAGATCATGTCGAATCGATATCCGGTGTCGGGAGGAGGATCCGAGGCTTCTTCACTGTCAGGAGGGGGACGGAGGCAGCTTTCGTAGTCGCGGCCGAGCTCCTCCTTTAACTGTGCGTCAAGAACGTTCAGGTCGCTGAGATCCCACTTTCTTTTCAACTTTCGTGGCGCGAAGAAAGGCATTCCGGTCGAACCAGTCAAGGTACGGAAAACCTCGACGGCCTCAGCTATCTTCTGCTTCCAGGCTCGTCTCTGCGCTGGGAAGGCAGCGGATTCGAGTTCCATAACGGCCTCGGCATCCTCAATGCAATGCCTATGACCACGGATAATGCTCCAAAACAAGTTGTCTCTCTGCTTCTCAGGAGAGTACGGGTTCGGGACACCCAGGGCGGCGTGGATTCTGTTCAGCCATGCGACGGCGAGGTAGTCTGTCCCCGCCATCTCCTGGGGCGGCTCAGCAGCCCAGCGTAACCAGAGGCATGCGGCCTCAGGCTCGTAAGTTGTGCCAAAGTGGCAAAGGTACGACTGGAATAAGAAGAAAGCCGCTTCGTAGGGAGGTGGCACGAGATCGACGCCGTCACTCTGGGCGGGAGAGGTCGCAAATCGCTCAAAGCCACTGATCATTGCTTCTTGCTGACCCCGATCGAGCAGATTCCGCAGTTTCAGCGGCTCAAAGAGAAATCCCTCGCGCTCAGGCCGTGGCAGATCGGGGCGGAAGCCTGGGAGGTTGTCTTGCGCGTCGTAGTCGTTGCCTAGCCGGCCCAGCGCGAAGCCTACGCTGTCCATGTCCATGCCATGTCGCCCTGGCGTTCGGTACTTCATGTTCTCAGCCATTCTCTTGTTTGCTTCATCCTTGACGCCGACATAGACATAGGCAGCCGCCGAATCCATGCCCCGGAGACGTACTTGAGCCCGGTCAAGCGCTCGTTGGGCTGGATCACCACGAAGAGTGAACATCAAGGCCGACGTGATAAGATTGAAACTGGGACCCGGGACTTGATGAGTGAAGCAATAGCTGGCGATGCTGTGAATGGCAACTTCAAGCAGGCCGTCGGATAACTTTAGGAGCTTCAGCTTATCGCGAAACTGAGTGTCGGAGACAGCACTTCGCCCGCTTTGGGTGAGGCCCCCAGCTGATAACACGTCCGCTGAGTCGATCATGCAGCGCCAGATTAGCATGCCGTACGAATAGGCGTCCGTTTTCTTGGCTCCCTCCTCGGTAAGTCTGTCGGTGATTTCGGGGGCCTCGTAGGGAAACGTGTGCATTGGGACCCGGTGCGTGCCGCCCGTACCCATATCCATGACGGTTCCGCCAAAATCCGCCAGTTTCGCCGTGTATGGTTGGTTTACGGGGTCTGAATATGAGTTGGGGAAGATGAGTACGTTTTCATGCTTGAGGTCGCCGTGGACAATGCCACAGGCGTGAATGATGGATAGGCCACGGCCAATGTCGTAACACAGCTTCTGCTTGATGCTGAAAGGGAGCGGCTTGCTCTGTTGCTGAAGTTTGTCAAGGGTGCCGAAGCTGGCGTACTCCTGCAGGATTGCCGGGAACGGCGAGCCGGTATCCAACGAGGCATCCCATCGGATGCTGTGGAGCCTGACGATATTGGGATGGTAACGAATAGGCTCGTGAAGGAGTGCCCTGATCTCGAGCAGGACCTCCGTCCAGTGGTTCTGATGCTGCCGACTGTCTCGGACCGTTTTCACCACGACTGTCTTCACCGCTGGCTGCCCAGTCTGGCTGGTTCCAGCTGCCGTGGGTTCTCCAAGATCTTGAAGCTCGGCGCGCTCGACGATGAATGAGGTGCCATTGCCGACGCGTCTGCGGTTCACGAGACGGCTCCGGTGAGCAGCGAAGAAGGCAGCCCGGTCACCTCGTTGGAGTTTCTCATCGAGGTACGCCACATGGCAGATGAAGGATGCGAGGCCGTGGCTCGTCGATGGCTGGCTGACCCGGCCGGTCGACACCGCGGTGGCGATCGGGGGGCCCTCACTCGTGGTTCTGTTGCCACCGGTGGACGCATCATTCAATGCAGGAGTCTGAGCAAGCCCTGTCGAAAATGCCGAGGGATAAGCGTAGCTTGTCATAGCAGCGACGACGCCTCTTTGGTGGTGAATGGGTGGGTGTGCTTCCTGGCTGCAATTGAGGTGTGTTTTAGGTGAGAATCTAAAGGTAGAGAGGTTCCAACGATGCCGGATATCAATTGTGCCTCATCCGGAGACCTGGTTGTCAGCTCGGAGAGTCGGGCTCATCGCGACTGGATAGAATGAGTGGTCCGGTATCTGCGGCTAGCTTGAAGTAGCTCCACGCATGACACCATGGGTGGCGGGTATGCATATCTGCCCCTGCAAGGCCGCCAACGCGTTTTGCACTGCACTGCCCGGCCTGACCGAAATATATCGGGCCGCCTACGCAAGCGGCAATCCTCACCTGACTCAACAAGCCAAGTCCTGAAAAAGGTGCTTCTCCCAACCCATGGTCAAGCAGTGATCACCCCACGATCCACGGAGTAACGGAATCTGGTCCCACAACGCAAACCCAAGCCCATAGCAATCATGGAGCCCGGCACGTACATCGCCATCGCCCAAATCGCTTTCCAAGGCGCCTGTGTCGCGGTCAAGGCGTTTCGAAATGGGCTCAGTTTCAGCCAGGATGCAGAGCGACTCGTGCTTGGTCTCGAAGTCGAGCGGTTCCGCCTTCACATCTGGGGCGAGAATGCCGGCCTGGCACCTCCAGAAGGGCAGCCGGTAACGCTTCCCAATCGGCTGCTTCCGATATGCGAGATCCTGAAGGACTATCTTGAGCAAATCGAGCGCTTGGTCAAAGACGCCGACGACCTGACCAACCGGTACGGACTGCTGCCGACTCAGGAGGCGCCGACCAAGTCTGCGCTGGTTCGACAGCTCGTCGACCGGATGCAGCGGTCCATCCAATCATCCAAGGTCAAGTTGGCGGCCGTGGGAGCGACAGAGGACGAGGAGGATGAAGAGCAGAAGAAGGAGGCCGAGAGTGGCCATCTCGTAGCCCAAGCGGCGGCAGGACAGGATGATGTGGGCCTCAGCAGCCCGAGAAGGACAACATCGACCTGGAAGAAAATCCGCTGGGCTGTTCGAGACCTCGAGAAGTTTGAATGCCTGGTTAAGGACCTGGGGCATCGCATCAACAAGCTTAACGACCTCCTGACAGAGGCGCAGCAACGCAAGACGCGGGAGGACAACTACCGCGTGAACATGGTTGTTGTCGGCAGCGCCGTCGACGAAGCATCACTCGAATTAATCCGCGCCGCCGTGCGAGGAGAGCCTGACACCTCGCAAGTCCGCGCCGCCGTCGAGCGCAAGGCTTTGACAGTCGGGCAAGGCATGACTACCGAGTCGACGCAAACTCAGCGTGCCGTGAAGAAGGAACTGCGGAGTGAGCATCTCGCAGCCCAAGCGGCCGTGGGTAGCAGTAGTCGTCAGCCCCTGTCGCTGGACATGTTCTTTCTTCCCAATAATTTCGGCAGCAAAGAATTCGCCAGCGTCAAGCACTTCGTCACCGTCAAGCGGTCCGACTCGGCTTCCAACCCGTCTTACTACCTCTTGGAGCGCAAACCCTTCGACCCTAGCATCCTCGACGCCGATAAGGACCGCCTTGCCAGCCGCATCCAGCGCCTCGTCTTACTCCTTCAGCGGCCCAAATCACCCGACTTCCGCACTCCAAAAGCCGAAGGATGCATCCATGATCCCGGCAACTCGTGCTGGTGGATCGCCTTCCAATACCCCCTCCACGTCGACCCGCCCACTCTCGGAAAGACGCCAGACAGCACCCACATTGCCACCCGCCGCCTCCTATTATCCAAGCCCAAGGACACACCGGTCTCCCTCCTCACCCTCCTCGCCCCGTCCGCCAAGTTCCGCCCTCCGCTGGAACAGCGCCTCGCCCTGGCCAGCGCCTTCTGCACCACCCTTTCGGAACTCTACCTCTCCGGCTGGCTTCACAAAAGTATCCGCAGCGAAAACATTCTATTCCCCCACGCTGGCGCAGTCCTCCACCCGCCGCCGTACTCGTACGCCCCGGAGCAGATGCAGGCCATCCTTTCAACCCCGTTGGTCTGCGGATTCGATTACACGCGCCACGAGAGCGAGTGGGCGACTGTTGATCGGGCGCGGACGCGGGGGCAGGTGGCCGCGGCGATTTATCGTCACCCTGACTACCAGGGAGAGGCGGCGGAGGGGTACAAGGTGCAGTATGATGCCTATTCGGTTGGGCTGGTGTTGGTGGAAATTGCGGTGTGGATGCCGCTGAAGGAGAAGTTTCTCGAGGCGACGAAAAAGTCGTTGTCCTCGTCGTCGGCGTCCTCGGCATCGGCGTCTGCCTTGGGTAGTGACTTTGCTCCACAAAGTAGTAGGGCCACCAGCAGTGGTGTGGAGCTGTCAGGGGACATGGACGTGTTCCATGCGCCGCACGCCGTCGAGTTGAAGAGACGGGTGATACACGTGGTGGAGTCGGAGCTCGCGTTTCGGGTCGGCTCACTTTACTATCGCGCTGTCAAGTTTTGTCTCGAGTTCGCGGACAGGCAGCCCGACCCTGGGGTGGCGGATGGTGGTGAGGTCGGGGTACACCCAGCCATGGCGTTTTACGACAATGTTGTTGTGCCGTTGGCTGGGTTAGTGCAGTGAACTGGTTAGCGGCCTATCAGGAAAGGCTTTTTGTAAGCCGGAAAATCCATCTTGGAATGTTCTTGCTATTGACCATGGACAGCCACCACAAGCGATGCGAGATAGCTTCCAGGTCGTGCGCCTATATGTCGTTTGTCAGCACCTTGTACACACCCTCACGGTCCTGGAGATGGATCCTCGGGTGTCCTGGAGGGTTGATGTCGCCCAAGAGACGAGCGCATTGGATTGCTTGAACGGCGGAGTCCCAGGGGGGAGAGCCGTCTGGTTTTTGCGAGGCGTGCTTGTCGTGCCGGCCACGGTCGCCATGCTTGTATCCGTCAGGGTATTGCAAGGCAAGGCCACGTGAAGACTCAAGATGGGCAGAAGAACATGAGCATTCTGCTAGAGAGGTTTCAGACCTGAGCTTGTGAATTTGGCTTGACAGGACAAAGTATCGATTCAAGTCGGTCCATGCCGACGGCTTGCGGGCAATGGAGAGTTGTTCGGCGAACGATGACCTTTTGTTGTCCATTTTTGACGACTCAATCCGGGGATGATGCCCACTGCTGTTTCCGAGGCATTTTCGTGGCCGGTGCCTGAAAAGGTTTGTGGCACTTTGTCACATACGATGAGCGGGAGATGAAGATCATTTCAGGGGAAGAAGCGCGTCGGCGGCTTCAAATTGGTAGACTTAGAGTCCCGACTCGTGAAAAGCCAAGTCTGCCAAGTATTTCCATGCGCCGAGGCGCCAAACAACTTGTTTCACAGTTTCAAAATTCAAAACCACTTCAACCAGGAAACATTGGAACAAGCTCCTTGATCACGCGCACTCAGAACCAGAATCTTTTCCCGTACAGCACCAAAATCGGTGCTTATTGGACCAAGCTGAAGTTTTCGTGATCTGGTGACATTTTTAATGGCCGCCGATGGAAGCGGCGCGTTCCTCGCGTATCATGAGCCGAACAGTGATTACAATACCTAATCCCCTGCTCATCATCTAATCCCACGTCTTCACCAATCGACATCCATCACTAACAATCATCAGTCATCTTCATCCTGACGCTGGTCTCTTTCTTTTTGTGCTTGGGCATTGCGGAATGGCTTGCCGACAAACTCATCCGCGCGCCGCTGATTGGGCACATCACCGTCGGGCTCATCTATGGCGTGCCCCTCGCCAACATCCTCGCCCCCGATTGGCAGGAGACCTTTCTTGCCCTCGGCTACATCGGCCTGATCCTGATCATCTTTGAAGGTATGCTGTCTCTCATGCCATGCCAGGAATGTCTCAAAACTGTTAACTTGTACTAACTCAGGCGGCCTGACGATCCGTCTCGACCTCCTTTGCCAAAACCTTGTCCTCAGCGTCGTCGCCGCCCTCCTCGGCGTGCTCACCCCGATTGCCCTCTCCTTCACCCTTATCTACGCAGGCTTCAATCACAGTTCGACCTCCCCTCCGCGCAACCTCATAATGCCATGGGCTAACACCGACCTTCCCAGCCCCGCTCGAAGCCTTCATAGTAGGCACCGCCCTCTGCTCCACCTCGCTCGGGACAACTTTTGTCGTCCTCGCGAGCGCCTCCAAAGCCAAGCCCAAAGCTGGGTCGGCGGATCCCACCAATACCCGCAGGGGTGAAGGCGTGGACTTCTCGCAGACCCGCATCGGCACCGTCCTCGTCAGCGCCGCCGTGCTCGACGACGTCTGCGGCCTGGTGCTCGTCAGCGTCATCCACAACCTGCGCAGCATCGCTGACGGCGACGACGGGACCAGCCTGGGTTGGATCATCGTTCGGCCGGTGCTTGCTAGCGGGCTGATGGCGCTGCTAACGCCGGCGATGGTCAAGTTCATCGCTGGGCCGCTGTACCGCAGGATAGTGCAGCCACGCCTGGCCACCAAATCAGCAAGACTCGGGCGCGTGTTCGGGATTTTGCTCATGGCGGTGGTATTAGTGGCGTCCCTTGCCATTGCGGCCTATGCCGGCGCGTCGGTGCTATTCGGGGCATTCTTGGCCGGGGCATTTCTCAGTGGCTTGCCAGGAGAGATGAATGGCCAGGGAGGGACGGCTGAATTCACGGACACGTTTGAGCACTACTTGGGCGCGCCGCAAAAGTACGTCTTCCAGCCGCTGTTCTTTGCCAGTATCGGCTTCGCTATCCCGTTTGCCGAGCTGTGGACGAAGGAGGTCGTCTGGAAGGGGGCGGTCTACACCATCCTGATGGCCTTTGGGAAGCTCATCGTCGGCGCCGTCGTTCTAGTCTGGGATGTCCTCTCTCACCGGTTCAAGAAGCGCGGTTCGGAGAAGACGGAAAGAGGAGCGATCGGCTGGGCGCCGGCAACGTTGCTCGGCGCGGCTATGGTCGCTCGCGGTGAGGTTGGCCTACTCATCATCCAGATCGGCCTAAACGAAACGCCTTACCTGACGAGGAAGGCCTTCGTCATTGGCGTCTGGGCCATCGTGCTCAACACCATCATTGGCCCTGTCCTGGTAGGCCTCCTTCTGAAGCGGGTTGGATCAAGCATCGCCGGAGATGCTCGCTGGGGTGTCCAAGTGAAGCAGGGTTCCGATATTGAGGCCGACGCGGACGCCGAAACGACCGGAACCTCAGCCGGGACAAGACAGAGGCCAGCCTTGGCCTGATATTTGCGGCCGGGTTCGATATAGTACCAGGCTCCCAAGGTGAGCTGAAAGCGAGTCATGTGCTCGTCGTGATTGAGGCGGTTATGATGATGCGGGGAACTGCCACAAAAATAGTAGATACCACGGGATCCAGAGCTTGGGGATCTGTCAGTATCTTAGAGGCTCACTGCAGCCAACCGAACGGGTGACACCCACGCGTGCACCTCTGTGGCGCCATGCAGATACGACCGGAATCCCCCCTGGGGTTAACGGCTTCCCACAGCGTGGCGACAACGGTGCGGTCCTAGATCCTGAACCAAATCTCAAAATAGACACGGAGCATTGGGGCTGCATACAATATCGAAGCAGGAACAATGCAACTCTGAGCAGCCAATCAGGGGTTTCGCCGTCTTGGGCCAGACTCGGCTCGAAGGACCCGGCTGAATCACATATTGCCCCGAAGCTCACGGTAACAGCGAGCTTGTTTGTTCTTTACGTGATCCCCACCCGGATCCGTGGTCCTTCCGCTCCACGATGTCCCTCATATATTGTGCCGAGCCTCATCAAGTCATGAGGCCACGGCTCACGGCCGTGGAGTCGATATGATCTGACTCGAACTAGCCACGCCGAGCTTGGGGAAGGACTCGAGTTCGCGACATGCGGGTTGTCGCCAGCGACCAGACGGATCCTTCTTATAACCATGATCCTAACCCACCCTGCGACCCTCAGAGGCAGAGTCCAGGTCTTGGTTGACAACGGGGCTCCGACGAGTAGTTTGTCCACTCGCTCAACTCTTCGCCACCATGCAGTATTACGGCCTCCTCGCCATCGTCCTTGGACTTGCCATCACGGTCCACGCGGCCCCTTCTGTCATCCTGGAACAGACAAAAAGGATACCGCCTGGCTGGTCCTTCCAGGGCAACGCCAATGCCTCTGACAAAATCACGCTTTTCGTTGCCCTGAAAGAGCCAGGGATCGAGGAACTCAAGGCCAAGTTGCACCAGCGCCAAAACTCCAACCACCCGTCGTTTGGGCAGCACCTGAGCCGGGATGAAGTCCTGTGGCATCGCCAGCCACCCGATGCGACGGCCCGTGCCGTGAGCAGCTGGCTGAAGTCGAGCGGGATCCGCGACCTCAATAACCAGGGCGGCCTCATTAGCTTCGACGTGTCCGCCAGCGCCGTCAAGTCGCTCTTCCAGGCCGACCTGGGTTACTACGCCTACAATGGCAGCGATTCCGAACCCGTCCTGCGAGCGCTTTCCTACACGATCCCTTCCTGGTTGCGCGATTACATCGACTTTGTGCACCCCCTCACCAACTTCATGCCGCCGCGCCCACGCCGCGGCCATCGTCGACGTCCCAAGCCAAGGCCATGGCCCTGGAATCCTAAGCCCACCACTAGACCGTCCCCATGGACACTTATTCCAACCAAGTCCGCAATCAGCCTCCCCACTTCAACTCGAGTGCCCTCCCACGAGGAGCTGTTCCCCAACCTCCCCTGCTTCGCCGCCACCGTACCGGACTGCATTAAGAAGCTCTACAACATGTCCTACACCCCGGCCGCCAAACCAGCGTCCCCCGTCCGCCTGGGCATAGCCGGCTTCCTCGAGCAATGGATCCTCCACTCAGATGTCGACCTCTTCCTCGACATCATGGCCCCCCTCCTACCGCCCACCTACAACTTCACCGTCGAGCTCATCAACAACGGCACCAACCCCCAAGACTCCCCCAGCAACGCCGGCATCGAAGCCTCCCTCGACGTGCAATACGCCATGGGCCTCGCGTACCCGTCGCAGATAATCTACTACGTCACGGGTGGCCGGGGCACCAAACTAGACGCCATGACGGGCGAAGCCTTCCCGGACTCGGAATCCGACAACGAGCCCTTCCTCGAGTTCCTCGACCACGTGCTTTCCAAACCGGACTCGGAGATCCCGCACGTGCTCAGCATCTCGTACTCGGACGACGAGGTCAGCGTGCCGCGGGCGTATGCCCACCGCGTGTGCGACCAGTTTGCGGCGCTCGCCGCGCGCGGCGTGTCGGTGCTGGTCGCGACGGGCGACGGCGGCGCGGCCGGCACGGGCAAGACGCAATGTTTCTCGCGCGAGCTGCAGGCCAAACGCTACGTGACAACCTTCCCCGCGGACTGTCCGTACGTCACGGCGGTGGGCGCGACAGATAACGTCGCGCCGCCTGTCACGGGCGCGGCGTTCAGTTCGGGCGGGTTTAGCGACTTCTTTGCGCGGCCCGAGTGGCAGGAGGAGGTGGTGAGGGGGTACGTGGAGGGGTTGAAGAAGCGGAACGATACGACCCGGTTGGCGCTGTTCAATCACACCGGCCGGGCGATGCCGGATATTAGTGCCATTGGGTCCGGGTTCCAGATCCTCATGGGCGGCGAGAACGGGCAGGTGTATGGGACGAGCGCGAGCACGCCCGTCGTGGCGGCCATGGTGGCGCTGGTGAATGATGCGCGGATGAGGGCCGGCATGCCGAGTCTCGGGTGGCTGAACCCGCTGCTGTACTCGGGCAGGGTCAAGAAGGTGTTGAGGGATGTGACGGTGGGCGAGAGCGCCGGGTGTCGGTTCCCGGATGGAACGAGAGCAGATGGATGGCTGGCGGGCGAGGGATGGGACGCTGTTACCGGTCTGGGTGTGGTGGATGACTTCAGTGACTTCCTTGCTGCCCTGTTGTAGCCAAAAGGGATCACTGACAGGATTCTGGGAGTTCACATTTCCTGTACCTCCATGAAGAACTGAAGTCAGCGGTAGGTCTGGTAACTACCTACTCGTGTAGTCCGAGTTGGCTTCACCTTGTCACGCTTTCCCATCCCCACCAGACTGCTAGCTGCGCGACCTGCCCGTCAATAACAGGTGCTCAGCCATCCAGTTTGGCCATTGCCGTCTCATCCAAAATGTGCTCAGGCACAAGGTCCAACCACTTCCTCCTTGTCGACATGAAAGTACATCGACACCAGAATTCAGGACCAAGCATAACAGAACCAGGGCCATCACCGCAAGGTTTCAGGAGACACGACCGTCGTGCCCCTGCGCTAGCGGCGACGTGAGTCAAACGCAGTCTGTGCAACCATTTCAAACCAATTATCGGCTCTGGCCAAAGAAGCCATCTTCGCCAATGGGTCATGGTGGCCTGAAAGTACTCCTACCTAACTACTGCACCGGCACCATCAACCGATCAATATCCGGGCCCCAACCCGTACCCCAGCCCTCAATAACAATCGTATTACTCGATCCCTTCCTCAAGTTGGCATGGAGCGTGCTGCTCGCCGGATCGCCCGTGGCCTGCAAAAACGCCACCTTCCTCCCGCCGTCCCCGTTGACCCTGACATTCGCATACCGCGGGCCGCTGTCCCCGTTCAGGAACTTGATGCGGATCGTCGTTAAGCCATCAATGTCGCTGCGGATGCCGCTGAAGGTGACACTCCCGCGATCGGGCCCCCCGATGTAGCCCGCCGCGAGCTTGCCAGAGCAGCCGGCGCAGTCGACGGTGCGCGCCTTGCCGCCGTAGGCTGCCTTCTCGGCCTCGTAGCTGGTTTCCGCGGGTGGGTTCTGCCAGGAGGCGGGGTTGGATGTCGGCACCCACGAGACAAAGTTCTTCATGGTCACGGTCGTGCCGCTGATGCGCAGGGGCAGCCAGACGTAGGTGCTTGCCATCAGGTTGTCCTTGACCCAGCGGTCCCCGAGGTAGATGGCGCTGCTCGAGCTGGTTTTGAGGATGTTGGTTGTTTGTGAATTGTACGTCTGTTTGCGGGTGAGTTTCCAGGTACCCCATATCTGGCTCAAAGAGGGGTAGTGAGGTGGGAACGGGGAAGGCACCTTTGAGCCGCTGTCGGCAAACTTCTTCCAGCTTGACCAGCCGCCAGTCAGCGAGGTAGACGTCGTGTATTGGTTCTCGTTGGCGTCCCATCCGGTCATCATGGACGCGAAAAGGAAGTAAGTTCCGCCGAGCTTGACCATGGCCGGCGCTTCGACCCGGTTGCCGCCTTCGAGTCGCCAGGAGTAGACGTCGGTAGTCGGGTTGAGGAAGTCATCCGACAAGGCCACGATGCGAAGCCCGTATTTACGCTGTTTCGGTTTTAGCATTGACCGGTTCGAGAGGTGAAACTGTAAAGGGACTAGGGAGGACACCAACATCTTCGGTCAGCAAGTAGCTCTTGCCATCATCGTCCTTGAACAAGCCCATATCACGGCTTTCCCTGCCCAACCTGCAGATCCTCAAGTCAATTCCAGGGACATCTGAGGAGAGCCAATATGAGGAACGACTCACGGCTGAAAGCTCCGGATATATTGGTACCTGCCGCACACGGAATCGCCCGTGGCCACGGCGACCCTCGCCTCGCCGTAGTTGCTGCTGTCCATGTGCATCCAGAGGACATACTTGCGCGTCCTGTCATTGTAGATGACCTTGGGCCTCTCGACCACGCGGTCGGGCCCGAGGTCGCCCGAGCTGGTCCGCGACAAGAGAGTGCCGACATACGTCCACTGCACCAAATCGGTCGAGGCGTAGCAGTTGACGTTGGAGAACGAGTGGCCGCCGCTCTTGTCCTCGCCGATCATGTAGTAGGTACCGTTGACCTGAATCATGCCGGCGCCGTGCGCTTGCAGGTGCTCACCGTTGGGCTAGCAGAGGGTGTTAGACGACTCTCACTCGCGGCTCTGCGGCCTGATGAATGACTTTGAACCCACGGTTGTCCATGTCGCTCCTGGCACGACTTGCAAGAACGCCCGGGCGAGGCCAGCGAGCGCCGCCGTGAGCGCAAGGGACAGCAACCACATCTTCTATAAGAGAAATTGATTGATGAGTAGTTGAGAAGTAAAAGGACCTATTGCAACGGAGGTGAGAGTCTTAGCCGCCTCCTTATGAGAGGTTTTTGACCACAGATGCATCCATATTGGAATAAATATGCCGTTATGAGTAACGTTTGGCCGGTATGGGTGGGCAATTGCCCAGCTCCGGAACCTCCATCGGTTGAATGGGTCGTTTTACTCTTATAGCTGGGACATGCACGAGATTTCAGGACACTTTCTATGCCTGTTTGGTAACCACATCGACTCCGAATGGCACCATTGAGCACACCTGACGCGGATCTCCGGCCCGGAGGCATTTACCCGCCCGGAAGGTCTCATCAAGGGAACTCACCTCGGATGCCGGGGCTTGGATGTGCAAGGTAGGCGACCAAGGGATCGGCACCCTCGAGAAGGATCATTCTGTTATAGTGAGTTACTACCTGCTACGTGTTACTTACACAGTGGTCGCCGAACTAAGCGCGCGTGGACATTCCTCCTAAGGACGCAAGACTGTTACATTTCTTTGGCTTCCAAAACCATCAACAATAGAGCGCTCATCGCAATGTGTATTGCCGATACCACCTAACATGCAGGCATTGCCTGAGCATAGCGGTTCCGTTTTGTCTCGGAATGTTGCAGACGACGTAGTTTGGAACTCAGAGCCTGCCATCGTGCCGTGTTATTCGTGCCGGTGATCAAATGTCGTGGCAGAAGGAAAACCATTCTTCAGCTTAGGGTCTGATTCCAATGTGTACAAATCATTCAATCAAGAAGGTACGATGGAAGTTCGAATTGCTACTACAAGGCAACTTATGTGGATCTAAGGTACCTACCTTGAGTGTTAAACGATTCCGCAAAGTTCGCCCCTTGCATTGCGTCATACATTGGGAGCATCATGACCTCAGCGCCCGGGGTTGATAATCGAGACCACTTTCGAAACATCTCCAACACATGCAATTTGAATGGTTAGAGCCACAAACTCACTCAATCAAAGTCACAAAGCTCAAAACATGCTCAGAGCCAATATCGCCAAATTCCCACTCAGGGGTAGCGGTGCCCGCCCCCTGACCCGCCAACCGCGCATCACCAATGTGAGGACGGCCATGTACAAGAATGACGGGCCGGACGGCACCACCTCGACTTTAGTAGCTGGCCCAAAAACGTGAGTTCGATATCAGCCTGAGTGGAGAGAGACCAACTTTTTCGACTGACCTGTCATCTTTGTCGTCCAGCTACGCTATGGTCGGAGGCTTAATCATGACCGTCATGGGCACATACGGCTACATGATGAGCCATCCACAAGACACTCAAAGAGTCGAAGGGAGCCCAGTGTCTACTACCGAGGCAGGGGCGGCGCCGACTAAGAAGTAAACTTGGTTTATGGCGTGGGGCTGAGGGAACTGAGGGATGGTGAGAATAACTGGAGTCAAAGAGAATGCACCCGGCAAGTGGTTTAAGATTATGGGGCTTCTGAATTGAGAGAAGCGTACCTTCGAGATTGAGGGGTATCAGGGAAACGGAGGAATCCCAAGGGTTTGGGCGCTGCAACAGTTGCGCTCCGTGGCTGTCATCATGTGGCAAATCACAATGCCGATGCCACAACTGACTACCTTAAAGACTGTTTCAATTCTTGTTCTCTTGGCAAACTGGAAGGAGTGGCTTTCAACGCTGCAATGTGCTCTCGAGATCTGGAGAGTAAATATTGTACCAAGTCCAGTGGCTCATGCTCCACTCAACGTCATCAATAACTAAATCGTTTCGGAGCCCACCGATTTATTCGATTACTTACTGTAACTAGTTAACGTACATTACAAGCGAACGGCGCATAGAGGTGAGTGGCGCACTGATAAGGGCTAGTATGGAAATCTGGGCACAACACTAACAGCTCATTCCCAAATTAATCCCGCTGTTAGTGTTGTGCCCGAATTTCCATACTGGCCCTTATCAGTGCGCCACTCGCCTATATGCGCCGCTCGCTTATAATGTACGTTATAAGTTAACTAACAAATCCATGATTTGTTTTCCCCTGGCCTAAGTGGAACAGATCTTCCAACTCACATGTTTTCATCCCGACTTTCTTATGATAATCGAGAACGGCCTCCAATCATCAAGTTGGAAGTCACTTGGTCAACAAAACCAGCTCGTCTCTCGGGAAGCACCCTCTTGTTTATGTTCTCGACGAATCTCACAACTTCTGCGAGACTTCTTTTCGCACTCTGCCACGACATTGGCCATACAACAACAGCTCCCATCTCCTGCGGTGCGTCTCGGAAGTCAAGAAACGAAAAAGATCTCAGAACGCAGAAGAATTTCTGCACCGTAACTACCAGTTGCAAAGGCCGCGCGCAAACATTTCTTTCCATTCTGCTGGACCCATTCTCGTCATCCAGTTTCATTCTAGTTACTCCCTCACTTTTCCATCGTCCACCTGGTACCGATCGGCCGGGCAGAACAACGATTCTTGATGCTCACTGGCTCCAGTCCTGATCTTCCATACCCGATCCTCAATTCTTCGCCGGACCGATTTCGACCATCAGGTTGTGGCATAATCAACCGATCAGCTTGCGGCCCGAGGATAGGGTTCCCAAACTTGCCAGAATCGTTTACAGAAACCACTGAAGGCGAGACGGTTTCTTCAAGTTTACTTCCTTTCAATTCTGTGCCTTCGGGTTGAAACGCTTCCAACTATATCAGAACTAACATTACCACGATCAGACACGCTCATGCGTTGAATGCTACAGATCTCTCACTCCAAGGCAAGTACGCGAGCTAACTTAGATGGGGTCCGAGTCCAACATGGAATCGACCAACCGCTGCCAATATGAAGCTATGGAGGACGCGCCCGCTGCCGAAGAATCCAAATGGGCCAAGGAGGGCGTGGTTCCAAGCGAGGAATACAAGGTTGCGCACTGGGATACCATCAAACCGTTCTAGGGCGGAAATAGACGAATCGGATTATAGAAGTCACCTCGGACTTAGAGTGGACCGTGAGATCCTCTCAGTAACTCAAATCCCAATCATTCCAGCATGCTAGCATCTCACTCTGCAACGCCCTTCGGACTCGGCTAGTGACGCCGGCTGCATGGCAGGGCTGCGCAGCATGTGGTCAACTACTTAATGCGCGCCGCGCGCTTCGCACGTCCGCGATGTCCACCCGTCGCGCCCTCTTCTCTCACGACACCCACCGTGGTGACCCCCTGTCTGCGTCCTAACTTCCGACAATTATTATTCCTACACCGCTGTGCCCTTGGGCTTGCCGGACCTTCAACAACTTACTATACAGGAAAACCGCGCCATCGTGGGCCGGGTTCCGACAATTACAACACACTTGTTGCTTTCAAAAACGGAAACCGGCTTTTTTGCTCCGAAGCTCTCCCAACCAGCCCTCTATATACCACCAACACACACGCAACCTAAAATGGCTCCTCTCGTCTGGCTTATCACGGGCTGCTCGTCCGGCTTTGGTGCTCAGTTCGTCCACTCCGCCCTGGCCCGCGGAGACAAGGTTATCGCAACAGGTCGCAACGCCGCGACAAAATTGAAGCACCTGGACGGCACCGGCGCAGCCATCGTGGACCTGGACGTCAGCCTGCCCGAGGCAGAGGTCAAGAACATTGTCGACAAGGCAGCCAAGATCCACGGCCGCATTGACGTGCTGGTGAACAATGCGGGCTACGGTTTTTTTGGTGCTATTGAGGAGACCAGGCGAGTCATCCCCGATTTCAGCCTGCGAGAATTAGAGAAAAGACTGGCTGACTGTCAACGGCCGAATAGCAACGATGACTACCGAAAGCTGTTCGACGTGAATGTCTTTGGCGCCCTCGCAGTCACCCGCGCAGTTCTACCACATATGCGCGCCCAGCAGTCCGGCACCATTGCCTTTGTTGGGTCCATGTACGCTTGGTGGACGCCCGGCATGGTTACCGCGTATGGCGCAGCAAAGGGCGCACTGAAAGGTAACGCCGACCCGAGATAACTCTGTTTAAAGCCTAGGTTACTGACAACTACTCCTAAGCCATCGTCGACGGTCTCGCTGCCGAGGTCCGCCCCTTCAACATCCGCACCATCGACTTCGAGCCGGGCTTCTTCCAGACCCCGCTCACCGACGGCGCCAATCTCGCGCAGTATGCCTCGGCCGCGCCGCCGCTGGACGCGTACGCGGACCAGCGTGCAGCCATGGTTGCGGTGGCGGCGGCGCACGACGGCAACGAGCGCGGTGACGTCGGAAAGGGCGTCGAGCTGATGGTGGACGTCATCCGCGGCGAAGGTCGCGCCAGCGGACGGAGCATGCCGCTGAGGCTGCCGATTGGCGAGGACGCTGTGAAGGTCGTCGAGGCGACGTGCCATAACATGCTCAAAGTTGTTGATGCATGGAGGGAAGAGGTGGTTGGGACGACGGATAGGGATGAGTTTGAGAGTGACAAGGGCATTGAGTCGATTGTGACGGTGCCGGATATCAAATTGTGGACATACCTGCCTTGGTAGGCCCAAGCTACGATGATCTAATACCTGGCTCACGGAAACTGTTAGTAACTTGAAGTGACACGACCTGCATACCTATGTACAACTTCAGTCCCCTATAGTCTAGACTCGGAGTTGCCAAAGTTGTTCTTCCTTTTACCTGCACGAGTTGGCATTACTTTGTTCATGAAACGTTACAGCGCAAGCTAACGCTGTATTACTGCGATTGTGATAGGGGCATGTCTTTGTTCATGCTCGGTATGTTACGAACCTTTCTCGGGTGTATCGCACAACGGGCTCTATGTAGCTCAACCTGTGAGAACACTGAGTGTTATCTCTCAACTTCAGCTTTAGGTTCTTGCCCAACGTTCGTCTCGATAATTCGACACCTCACGACCGTAAGCTCACCTTATGTTATGACCGAGATGTCGCCTCAGCAGCCATATGTACTCAATGCAGAGGAAGTTGAGCGGACTGTGAGAGAACCACCAGCGGAATATCACGAAGGTCAAATCCGTCGTTTGCAACATTCAGCCCCTTGATATCAGCACAGTAGAGAATGTTTGCTTTATTTCCAGTGCAAAAGATCAATTGTTACTACACCTAGCCAGTTAGTCAGACAAGCACCCGCCCGAGTAAGGTGCATGTATCTAAAACGACGCGAATCGTCCTCTTCCAGAAGCCCCCAGCCCGCATCTTCACATCCTCCTCAACGGCAGCCACTTCTCGTCGCCAAGAAGCTCCAATGGCATCATGCTCCAATCAAGACGCAGCTGAATGTCAAGCGCTCCGCCATCAACCTTCTCCTAGTTCCCAAGCTCAACCTCTCGCCGACGCCCTTCGTCCAGGAGATCCGGCGAAAAACGTTCCCTGCCTGCCGCCACCTCAGCCCGGTTCTGGAACGCCGGCCGGCGGCACGTGGGACAGCTCGGCCCGTTGTCGTCCGGCATCTGTTGGAAAATTGCCCCTAGTCTAGACTGTGAAGCACGCCAGGCCAAAGCCGTGCCCGCAAGGTAGAGTGTACGCCGCCTCCTCGAATTCGACGGCGTCGTTGTCTTGGCCACAGGCATCATCTGTGGGGGAGGAGATAGTACGCCGCCACTGGTTCTGAACGCCGGGGATGGCGGTCTTGAAGACGCAACAGATGGAGCAGGTGACGATGGGTTCGGGACCGGCGCGGTTCTCGAGGTATTTTGTAATGTTGGGCATGTAGTTGGTTTTCTCGGCGGCCTGAGTCTTGTTAGCGGTGTGAGACGGGTAGTTTGAAGGGAGGGGAGGACGTGTTGGAAGACATGTTGCTCGAGATGTGTATTCCTGTGTCGGCGCGTTAGTCGTTTGAGAAGTACATGCCGCGAGTGCTTTGATAAAACGCTCTTGAGCAGGACCGAAGGGATCTTTTGAATCCTAGTTAGAGAGAAGAGGCAGAGAGATATTGCTCGCAGAAAACTAATGCCCTCAGTTTGAAGGCGCAGGAACTGCCTTCCTGTTCAAGTGCTGTTGTTACTGTTGGGCGGTTCTGTTCTGTAACTCAGACGGGCCCTAAGACATCTGACACGGACAAAACTTAGGAAATATCGATAGAGGGAGAACAGTCATGGCACCCTGTTGAATAACACCACTACCGGGCGTAAGGCTGTGCTGTTCCTGGTCATAGTCTGTTCTTTCTCGGCGTTGAAGTATCCGACACAACATCATATACGCTCGGTAATTCGTTGACGTTCAGGAACAATGTCTTTGAACCGATAATATTTATATAACGTAAAAAAAAAGAAAGAAAAGAAATGGCTCTGTTGACCGCAGTGAGGATTGAATGCGTTCTGACGAGAGGGACAGCTTGAATGACCAAAGACAAAAATTCTCGGCGATTGTACGTTCAAATAACCCAAACACAAGACTGATCGAGTCAGGGGTATCAATTCCGAGCCCGCCAAGCGCCGACTACTAAGTCCAAAGAACGAAAGAACCGTTTGACGGATCGGCTACCTCCCGCCATTATCCCGTCACCGCCTGTACCCGAGCCTTCTCGACCAACCTGGCAAAAAACTGCAGCACGGCACCTCGCAACGACAATCCCTCCTCAGCCGCCGGCGCAAACACCTTCAGCCGGTTCTCCGACATGGCAAAACCGCCACAAGCGATCTTGACCACCCTAACACCGGGATGGAACATGTTCAGACTCAGATGCTCCTTCAAATAGCAACCCAATGCCTCGGTAAACGGCTGGCCGTCTTCCTCCTCATCCGCCGTCCGCCACTCCCAGCCCTCTTCGTACAGTCGGCCAGCCAGCTTCCTCCGCTTCCGCACGTCGTCTTCCCAGCCCCATCTCATCTTCGAAGAAGCTGGCGCTTGCTGGCGGTGCGAGGTTGCTAGCCTCTTACCTGCGGCAACAAACTGCCGTAGCTCGTCGGCGGGGATGATTACGTCGATCGACTTGAGACCGAGAGGTTGTTGGTCGACGGTGTCGTCCTCGTCCGGCGAAGTGTTCGGCTTTTCCGGCGGCGGAACATAGAACCCCAGACTGAGAACTGCATCCTTGGCAAACGGACCGCGAGCCGGCAGTCCGACAAACCGAATCCACGCTTCCCAGCTGCGGATCAGGCTGCGCGTGCCCAGACGCATGGGGCTGACACGGCAGTCAAAGGTCGTCGACAGGAAATCGGCAATGGTGGTTTTGAGCGGCGCCGGCATTCGCAGGAGGAGGAGCGGAAGGGAGAGGAAGCGGTTAGGGGTGGGTTCCCACTCCATAACGTTTGCGTCACCGACCGAGAACCGTGTTTGCGCCGGGGTTGGCACGTCGTCTCTTCTGGAATCTGCCAGACGGGGCAGCATGAGCGCCGCGCACGAGGCCATCTCGTACCGCAGTGTAATATGCAGCGCCTTTTTGTCGGGTAGTTGCTCTGTCAATTGCCGCCAGCCAGCTCTTTCGCCTTCCTCTTCACCGATACCGTTTAATCCTTCTTGTGATATACCCAGCACATCCGCGACGCTGACCCAGCCTATCTTGACCTGTTCCAACGCGCCCGCCCTGCCGATGATGGACTCCTCTCCCGCGTCGGCTGCCCGAACCTCGACGCCGCGGACAACATCCCCAACAAGTTTGTCTCGTAGCCGTTGCGCGAGGAGTTGCAGCCGGTTCGGCGTCAACAGTTCGCTGCCGAGGTAAAGAGGCGAGACTCGGTGCGCCGAGAAGGTAGTGTTGTAAAAGGGAAGGGGAGCGTGCTCTGCCACGTCTTCTTCTTCCTCTTGGTCTTCGTCATCGGGCGGCTGAGGGCGATCGTAGGGTGGTGAAGCCGGGCGCGCGGGTTCCGGATCTGGGGGCCGGTTACGGCGGCGTTTTGGCGGCATCGGTTGTGGCTTTGTTTGGCGGTGGATAGCGGCTTGGGTAGCCGTCGCGTCGAAGCTGGCTGGATATCGAAGATTGAGGGAGTATCCGGACTGATTTAAACAGAAAGACTGAGTTGACGCGTCACTGGGTACTCCAAATGGTAAATCTTGGTGCCGGCACGCAGGAAACAATCGTCATCGACGGTCGGATAGCTTTTGTGCCGAGTGGGAACTACTGCTGTCGGAAATGGTGGGGTTTGAAGTATAATATGGTGCATGTACCCTAACCCTCCTTTAGGGATTTTGGAGTTGTAGCGACTATCGTAAATCAGACTCCACCCCAGCTAACGTACATGATAAGCAGAACGTCCCAGACAAGCGAACGTCCCACAAATCCACTCCTTCATACCTTTCATTTTTTATCGACTTTCCCTCACAACGCAATATGCCCCTAAAAACCGACGAAGCCCAAGTGCAATTAGCCCTTCAAGCAATCCAGAATGATCCGAAACTGAGCCTAAGAGCTGCAGCTAGGATATATTCTGTGGACCACGAGAAGCTCAGTCGCCGAAGACGCGGTAAACATTCACG